AAGCTAGCTTATCAAAGTTTTGGCATCATTCTCTCCTCTATTAAATGCAGGTTTGTTTTTAACATGGAGGCATGTTAAGAAAGGACATCCTACCTGAGATCTTAAGTGGTATATTCCAGAATGCCAGTGAAAATAGATTGATCAGCTTTTAGAATGAACATGGACAACTGTGTGAATCTAAACATTTTTCAATATATCCGAACTGAAAGACAGGACAGAATTCTGAACTGCTACTTCAGATTGAAAATGAGATATCAGTTCTGAAGATGCCCCCATATAAAAACAAATATCTTCCTGAATGTACTACATTATCCTTTGGGTGAGGTATATACTGTAAGATGGAGCCAGACCAAATATTAAATAACAGTGCTTGCCTTTAAAATGAGTATGGGGTCAGATGGGAGACTGGGGAAAAAATTTAAAAACTAAGGAAGCTTAACTGAGTGGGTTCCAAAGTACCTTACCCTAAAACATTGATATGATGCAGTTTTAGCTCTAAACAAAGTCCATATCCAGTTAAAATTTGGTCATATGTAGCATATGTGATCTTAATCAAATTGAACAAAAATCTTTCCCTCCTAAAACATAAGAAGTCTCCTGAAGATTACAGCTGACTTCTGAAGAGATGGTACACTACATTCTGTATGACACAAAGATTTGTTTCAAAAGTTCATTTCTTAATGAACAAAAAACAAAATTAATGGATGGTGAATCATATATTAAAACCTTTAAACAAATTACTAAAATATCTTCACAGCTCAACAATAAAGCTTAACAAGGAAGGATGCAGTTTCAAGTACATTAATCAAACATGTATGCAATCAAGAGAGATATCATAAAATTGATTTATTAACAGCATTGTCTCTTTTGGGGGTGGTGTCTCACTAGTTATTTGTATTAACAGCACCTCAGAACCAGATAGAGCCTTTTAGTTATCTACAGACACATACCTATATGCACCATTCTTATATTCCAATGCTACTTTCATATACAAACACAATGAAGAGTCAACATTTAATCCCCCAGTTCCTAGCATTGTATCTGAATATTCCTTCAGCAGGGTCTTGGCCAGCTAGAATACTTCACAAAAGTATGCAAAACAAAGCAAGCCACCTGCGAACATGCAATTGACCATTCAGCATTGACCACTCTAAAATTAACACCTAAATATTGCAGTGTTCCTTCAAGTCACTTACTTCTGAGTTCATGTTTGAAGAGCAAATGATCTCAGTTCAGCATGTATTCAAGCAGCGAAATCTGTAAGCAAGCACTCTGGTCCTACTTCCTGATAGATTCTGAGGGTGTTATCTGAGGGCAATGGGGGAGGGGGGAGGAATCCTCCACCTCTCTGGTCCAACTTTCCACTCCTTGAGCACAGTGCAATTAAGAAACCTGTTTCAATGCTCTCAACGCCCTACTGTTGCTTATTACAAGTTTTGGCTCTCCTAGCCTGCGCAGCACAGTAACAGTATCAGACGTGCCTGGGAGTTCAGCACTGTTATGAAATGTTTGTTATTTAAACAAATAGGCACACACAAAACCAAGCATAACACGTTACAACCAAGGGCTCAAGGGTGTATGAAATAAAGCAAGTCCCAACAATACCTAAGTAAAAGCAGGCTATGAAACTTTTCACTTAGACATGTAGTCTTTAAAGTCACTCCCAGGGAGATGTGGGCCAATTTGAATTACACACTGGGTCACAAAATATAAACCTACTTAAAATTTTAGTTATAACATACATGCCTATAACAAGTTTCACAGGAGAAAGAAAACACAGGTCACCATAACAAGGCTTCATGAATTCTGCTAGCACTAACTTTCAGTACTGTAAAAACCTAAGCAAGGCAGTCATATTCAAAACCTTTCAGTCTGGCCAAAACTTTACCTTATGGCAGATTATTATTATTATTACTACTGCTACCACACTGTGTTCATAGCTTGCCTTTATTCCTCTTGTGAGGAACCCAAGTGAACTTACAAGATTCCCATCTTCTCCATTTTATCCTCACAACAACCACCCTCAAATGTATCATTTAAAACAGGGATGGGCAACATCAGGAGGTCATGGGGCATTTTTATCATCAGACATGTGCACACAACCATAGCTGGCACCTATTCCACCTGCATGCATTATTGATTTTTTAAAAAGGAATTGTAGCACTCTTTTAATGCTATCTAGAGCAGCTACAGGATTACCAAAAGGATCAAATGTAGGTTTGCTTGAAAGCTAATGTTGATCTTTTTGGTGCTAATGTTGATCTTTTTGGTGCTTTATACAGGTCAGAAAGGGTAAGAGCGGCTGCTCTGCATGTCTTTCGCCTTTTTGTTTTTGAAGTATGTTTAAAACAATTTTTGAGGGGAAATGGGTGAGAACAGGGCTCACATGAGGTACATGGGCTATGCATCACCTCTGCCTAACTTGAACATTGGAGCTGTCTTTAGTTTTCTACTGTGTTATTGTTCAAAGAGAAGATGGCACATTTGTCATCATTGACCAATACAGAAAGGAAGACAACAGTTCTGCTATACTTCAAATCCACACCCACACATTCCATGCACAATCATTTTATCTTTTGAGAGAAGCAGTCCTTCAAAGTCACACAGAAAATATCCTCAGCCTTCTAAATTGGACATCAAAATTTAGAAGGAACATATGCCAAGTTAATAAACCAAAAATTTTCTCCCTTTCCAAAGTGGGAAGTTGTGTCCTATGCTTTCCAATATTCCATATTCTAGACAGAACTCCTTTAGTCATGTCCTATGGTATTCCTGCTTAAGTTAACCAAGGCCTTACAAGAGTTAAATTAATTTGGCTTTCTCCATCTGGTTTTATAACTTCCTTGAACAGTCACATATTTTGTCCAGAACTTGTTAGAAATTTTCAGGACAAAATTCTATACTTGAGAATTCAAATATCAGGTTAACACTGAACAGCCATTTCAAAGAAGCCAGGAAAGATGTAAAATGCAATGTAATGCAGTATATCTTCCGAGTACGATGTTACAATCAAACATTGTGACTCAGAGTAGCCAGTGCAACCTTATTTATGCTGTATTTTGCCATCTGTACTGGCTTACAGCCTGTGTGAATCAGTTCAAAGTGCTGGTTTTAGCCTTTTAAGCACTAAATCACTTGTGGGCAATACCTAAAGGACTATACTACCTTATTTACCTCCACAGGCTTTAGGGTCATCACCTGTGTCCCTCCTTCAAATGCCCCTCCCAAATGAGGTAAGCTAGATATTAACAACAGGAAAGCCCTTGGCACTCGTGAATTATCATTCGTAGAATGACTCCTTCCCTCAGTAACAATACCTCTATTATAGTATTTTCAATACCGGATGAAGTCCTTTATTCTCCCAGATATTTGTCTTTTAAATTTGCTACTCATTTTACTTTGGTTTTAGTAGGTGCTGCATCCTTTAACCTTGCCTGCAAGTTTTCTTTTGTTCTATTTTATTATAATTATTTTATTGTTACTTCGTATTTATGTTTTTGATTTACACATAAGTTGCCCAGACAATGTAGGTTCTTGAGCAGTCTGAAAGTGTAATAAATAAAGCTAGTTTAAAACTAATTGTCCTGTCCATATCTGGTTCAAATTTCACAAAATTTTGCAAAGAGAAGTACAAAATACTTCATAACAGAGTATTTGAATGAATGCCTTGTGAACACTTTGATCAACTGATTCTTCCCCATGAGTCTACCTACAGCAAGGGGGAAAACATAAAACCAAACTCCTTTTGGGTTCAACAAAAACAGTTCAGCAACTGGTGCTAAATTTTCCCTCCAATTTGTGCCACAAAAGACTGAGGCAAAGTAATGTTCAAAGATTTATGGCTTTCATTCTTCCATGAATGAGGTTCACACAGAAAACAGGGCAATGACTCCATTGGCACCCAGTATGTTAGCAGCTTTGTAAGAGGATTTGTGAACCAAATATATAATATGAGCCAATAAATATATGCAAAGACAGATTGTACACTTTGCAAAAGGGCTAGCGTCACACATGCTAAGAAACACAGTAACAAAAGGGTTTCCAGTCACCTAGAATTTTACTGGCCTTGCAGAAGTATTTTCCTATGGTGTAATGTATATTTTTAATATTTTTCTTTTTTAATGAATGTACTGTATGTATACCCTTTCATACCACATGCACGAACATGGGGAATGCAAAATAAATGTACTGCTATTAAGGGTTCTCTACCCAACCAAGCTTATGTTGTTGTTTATTATTTATAAAGTGAGCTTAAAACTTCCTTGGTGCTGTCCAGTTGATGTTTTTAAAAATTACACTAGACAACATGCCTGGAGGCTTATGGTTCAATAAGCACTACACAATAAGAAAAAGGGGTAAAAAGAGGAAGGAAGAAAGAGCCAGGAGGAATGATTTGCTAAGAGCTTCTGGTAGTGGAGAAGCCAAGTTTTAGTTGGTCCCCACTGTATTACATCTATGAATGTCAGAATGCACATAAGGAACACTCTAACAATGAAATCCTTAGCTGAAGAAAATCAACTTTTTATAACTACCAAAATGTATTCCCTACAGCTCCTTCATGTTTAGGAAGAATGGCACAGAGCTTTATTGACTACACAGAACCTGTAACAAGTTATATGAACAATACTTCACCACGCAAATCTGGCTACGTAAGTTCTCACAATGATACCATAAATCTCACATCTGGAATTCTTGAAGGAATAAAGACTCATTGCTTTTTCCTTGAGAAAAATGGAACTCTGCTTGCCATCATCAACAATCAGATACCATGCAAAAGCCATTCAAATACAACAGATACATATAATGGAAGATTTCAAGAGGCAGAGACATTTCATGTAACTATTTCCAAATACACATGCACACACTATAAGAACCCCAAAATATTTTTAAATTGCTTTGAACTATAAGCTTAGACATCATTAAACATGTAACTTTTACCACTACTTTCTCTTTCTTTTAAAAAGGTATTGCTTCTAAAAAGGCCAAAAAAAAAAAATTACCTGTGGAACTGCCATTAATATTCATGGGGTGGGCCATGCTTGCTCAATGACAAATCGAGATACTGATTGTTAGGAGTCATGCAAATCAAGCATCAAGTCCAACCAGTCATGCAACCTGAAACAGAAAAAAAGATTATTAAAATATCACAGCTCAAAAACCAGTTCCCTTGTATTATGAAAAGATCATTATTTTAATGCTATAAAATTTAAAACTAAAATGCTCTTAAACAGAAATTAAAAACAGGGGAACTTTCAGATTCCAGTAATTTACTGAAGGAGGGCCTTGTTTGTTTGTTTTTGTTTTTGTTTTTTTTTTTTTTTTTTTTTTTTGAAGTGTAACCCCTTATCAATCTGGACAGTTGCATGATTCTTCTTGCAATGTATCATGGGAGTTGCCTAGAACCGAGGACAATGGCTCAGTGAACATACATGAATACATTTCAGAAATCCTGGCTTATTAGGAACAAGGAATTATACACATGCTGCCCATTCACTCCCACTTGCAAACATGGATGGCTAGACAAAACATAGGTTCTTGTATCTATGATTTGGTTAACATTACATGTAGGTAAAGATTCTGAGTTGTTTCTTCTCAAACAGGCCAGAGAAATAACCCACTGTTTGTTCTCCTGCTTCCAGAAATCCTCTGTTACAAATACTAATACCATATATGCAAGACTGTGCAAAAATTATTATGGCTTTGATTAGAATGAAAACCATAAGGCAACATAAAGGGAAAGCCCATGAATACACAGATTATTCAAGTGCACATAGGAACAATGAATGGTAAATTACATTCTGCTTTCCTAAAAAATATTTGTTTATTTGTCTCTGTGTTGTTCAAGCGCTCTTGCTGTTCAGAATGTCTCTGACTTGAAGGTGTAATATTTAATGCAATGCAGAAAAGAGATAATTGGCAGATTGGAAAGATGCTCAGAGACATGTATTACAGAGGGACAGCCATGCTAGTCTATTGTAGCAAAAACAACAAAGAATCAGGTGGAGCATTAAAGACTAAACAATTTATAGGTGCATCTAATGATGTGAACTGTTATGCCAAAATAAATGTGCTTTGCTTTAAAAAGCCACAAGGTTTTGCTTTAAAAAGCCACAAGGTTCAAGGGGGTGTGTTCAAGAAGGAATTGTGTAAACACACAGCTATTTTAGTTGCTTGCTACACAATTACTTCTGGGGGGTTATGCAATGATAATTATAAGTACGAAGATTGGTTTGGATCACCCATAATAGCTACTGAACTGAATGAATACATGTGTTTCTCCAAAGGCAACTGCACTGCGTGCTAACGCTATGTTAGGCACAGATTCAGGAACTGCAAAACAGTGGACATGGGACCTTTCTCACAACTGTGAGTAGCCAGTTTCAAAATTCAGCAGCACTGAAGCTAACAGTAGGTGGCTATAATTTTAATTAAACACTGATGGTCGAAGAAGAACTGATATATGAACAAACAAGCAAATCGCAAACAAATACCACATTTTCTTCAGACAATGTTTACCTAGTGATCTAAACAAGGGTGTGCATATATTGGAGCTTAAACAATGTCACAAAAGAGGCATGTTATTTATTTGTACTATTTCCAGACTGCTACATATGTTTTCAGAAGTCCCTAAGCAGTTTCCATAAAAATATTAAAATTAAATTAAAACCTCATTTAAAACATATTTTCAACACCATGTGGTACAGGAGCAGTAAAAGGAAACAGTATGATTCATTTAATAATGGGCCAGGGAAAGCTTGGGTGAACAGGTGCACTTACAAGAGATGTCTTACAGATGTCAAATTTTCTGTTTGCCATTTGCATGCGCGAGTCTTTATTCCATAGTATGGTCTCTGAGGTCTGCTATTCAGGTATTATATGGCAACATGCCAATATTTTGAGAACAACCAGCAAGTCCTTCTTCCCATTATCTTAATGGTCAGCTGGAGGTATTGCACACTGGTCAACTGGAGATTTTACACACAACACACGGGAAGGGGAAGGCGATCTGCTAGGTATCCTGGTCCTAAGTGGTTTTGGACTTTAACATTTATGACAATAACATTACTCACAACGTGGTTCAGTAGCTAGTGCAGCACATTAGAAGATAGATTTTTGCTCAGGACAAATTTTGAAGCTCTCTGCCCTTACCAAACTTGTGTTTTAGATTCTTGCTTTATACTGGCGTAAGATTACAGGGCTTTGAAGACTTCAGGGCAAATGAAAAAACAAGTAAGGACAAGCTAGAAACATTATTTGCTAACAGAAGGGGTGCAAGAAAGAATAATTAATTCAGTATTCAACCTCCACTTTACCTAGACAGTTCAAGTGCCAAAGGCTTTTATATGACTTGATGATATGTGAAATGTCATCGATTAGAAGCATTTTTTTCCCACATACAGCCAAGGGCTTATTCATCAATGCACTAATGAAAGCTTCATGTAAAAATAACTGCAGCAACAGTAACTCAAAAAAAGCAAAGGAAAATATATATTCCGTCTTCCACCCACCACATGCCTTTATACCTGTGCATAGAGTGTAGAAGCAGAATGTAGCTCTACCTTAGTGGGCACTTTGCTAAACTGCATTGTATTCTGTGGAGTGAGTAAAATACATGCATGCACTATATTCTAAGTGCCCATGCACACAGTGATACAATAAAGTCAAATTACATGTGCATGCTACAGGCCTCGCTAAAGATACATGTGGTACACAAGGATATACCTATCAGTTTGTGCAAGCTTAAGCTGTCCATACCCTGGTTCAAATCTCATCTCAGACATAACTTCATAAGGTAGCTTTCAGGAATCCAAGAGAATCTTTTCACTTCAGGTCTCCATCAGCAATGGGAGGGTGAAATTGATCTACATTCCAGGGCTGTCATAAGGATCACTATAATAATACCTGGCATACATTGGAAAAGCACACTTCCCAAATGCTCATTACTGTCATATATAAAGTGAAAGATGCTTCTGTTGTCATATATAAGGTGAAAGACCAATCCATGCTTCTAGTGATTGAAGTTGTATTCCTATACAGTGATGCAAACAGTTTCTGGAATAATTATTTATAAAGAATAAGGTTTTAAGATAGAAAAGTATCTGGGGAGATTAGAAAATTGTAAATACTTAAATCTTAAATACAAAATCTTAAATATTTTGAAATAATAAATATTTTATATTAAATATAAATGAGACCCTTTATAAGTTCTCACATGGTTCTATCATTCAAGAGTTGAGAACTTTTGTTTTATCTACAATTTCAGTTGCACAGGCTAACGAAGTTCCTGTCCACAGTATGAAGATGTTAGCCAAGGCACAGTATTTAAACTAAACACAACCCTGAATGATGTCAGAAATAAACACAAGAAACACACAATCTCTTCCACAGACTAAGTAATCAGATGCCATGTTTCTCAAGAAGTTCCTCCAAACAAGTTACTTTAAAATGAATAGTTTTTGCATGCAGGAACACCATGGAATCAAAGCCATTTCTGCAGGCATGGCTTGCTCCAAGATGGACAAGGCACATCAAGAACAGTTTGGTGTCAAGATCTGGGCTGATCTGGTGGCCAGTACCACAGCAACCACCACCACATTTGCAGGATTGGTCCCAGACGTGGTGCAATCTACAGATGAGTACCAGCTGGGAGTCCTGATGGAAGGGCTATGCAAGAGTAAGCTCCTCCCTCAAGAAATGGTCTGTTTGCTGTTGTGCCTGATCTTTCCTGCTGTGTATCCTGCATCTTGTCATGTCTGAGAGCCAGTGTGGTACAGTAGCTCAAACCACAGGGCTAGGACTCAGGAGAACTGGATTCTAGCCCCACTCAGCCATGGAGCCAACTGGGTAATTTTGGGCATGCCCAACCTAACTCACAGGATTAATGATGTGGTGATAAGATTGGGAGGAGGAGGGTGTAAGGAGCTTTGAGTTCTTTAAAAAAGAAAAGGAATATAACGCTAATTAAAAATTAAGAAAATAAAAATTAATGCCTCTTGCCTTGCTATGTTGTGTCAGCAGTTCAGGTTTTCCTGTTAGCTCTAGAGCTGCACCTTCCCTATTCCTGCTCCTGCTTCCCACTGTGTATCCTACATCTTGTTGTGTACCCTGCCTTGTCATTGTGCCTTGCTGTTGTGCTTGCCTCACTGCTTGTGTCCTGCCATGTGGTATTGCCTGAGCAATGCAAATTTGTCTGCTAGCTGCAGTTGAGTTCCTGCATCTTGTATTATATGGTGGTATGTAAACCACCCAGAGAGCACTCTGGGCTACTGGGGTGGTATATAAATGCAATCAGTCAATCAATCAATCAATATTACCCTGTCTGTATTATCTCCTGCATCTCACTGTGTATCTTGCCTTGTGTAACTTGCTGTGCCACGTATCCTGCCCAGTTATTCTGCCTCAAGTGCCTGGATCCTACCTAATACCTGTTGCACATCCTGCCTTGCTGTGCATACTGTCCAAGGTACCTGCAGCTCTGTTTGCCCTCTCGATTCTTGACTGCTTTGCTGCTGACCACATCCTTGTTCTGCCTTGATGTGTACATCTGGTTCCTGACCCTGGCCTGCTTTGTTACTACAACTTTTTACTGGACTTGCCATTCTGTTTGGACTCTGTCTCGCCTCAAGTTCTGTAGCCCTGATCCTGGTGCCTCTGTCTTGTCTCTGGCCACCCACGCCCTGGCCCTGGACCCTGACACTCAGAATGCAATTTTTAAACTACAAAAGACCATTGCTCTCCATGTCTCAATAGCTTCTGTTTGACCTTCAGAGTTCCTCCATGTATGGAAAAGGTAATCAGGCTTAATGTACCTTAAGAACAAAGTGTCTGGATTTGCTCTGAATATATTTGATTAGCTAAATAGACACACCTGTCATTGATTTTACGTACTATGAGGACTGCATTCTTCAAATAGCCAGACCAGCCAATGAAACCACTAAAGTAATGTGGGTCTTTGCCCTTCCTAGACCACCTGAAACCATTTGCCAATTTCAATATAGGGATTTCTTTAGGGATTCCTAGCCTACAAGAAGCAATGTGGGAAGACTTTCTACTCAAAGCTTGGAAAACACATCATAACCTATGTAGGACTTTTGACAGTAAAGGCCTGTAATGCC